AGACCATTTTGCAAGATGTAAACAGTGCTTCTGGACCAGTTTTGTTTACATCTTGCAAAATGGTCTATAACAATATCGATTAGTGCAACCATAAATGCAACAACCAGACATTTTGATGCTGCAACCACTTTGATAAACTTTCAGAGTTGCTAACATGACAGAGCCAGCGGGAAACAATACCACTTCCGTTGCCAAAATGCGCAACTATTTGATCACGTGGGCTGTAAAAGGGTCTATAGGACTGCATGGATACACTTTATTTTTAATGAGGTTTCAGCTGATAAGGTAAAACATTGTCCATCTGTTCGCTTCATTTCACTGTGGATTGTTTTGTAAACAAGACTGGATTTGCAGACCGATTAAGAGTAAAGAACGGTGCTGTGCCGTCTATATTGGATCTGACAGGAATGGTGCAACACACAGACTCTGGGTCGAACATGTATGGGCGAATCATTCCGGTTGCCATTTTAAAACAGTGGACTTTTTCAAAACAATTTCCCCCAAGTGCACTGACGGGTGAGTTGAAACTCATTATAGTCAGCCCATTCTCACTCCCAAGGCGTCACCTAACTGACGCCTTGGGAAGCATTTGGACATGCTTCAATATCTGACGCTTTAGGCTCCCTTTAGCGGCAGTTAGATGACGCCCTAGGATCGCGTGTACCCCACCCCCACCCCACACCTAAACCTAACCGCGTCCTCTAACAGACGCTTTCCTTTAGCGTCAGTTAGATGACGCCCTAGGATCGCGTGTACCCTACCCCCACCCCACACCTAAACCTAACCGCGTCCTCTAACAGACGCTTTCCTTTAGCGTCAGTTAGATGACGCCGTAGGATCGCGTCATGTAAGTGACGCTAAAGGGCGCCTAAAACGTCAAATATTGAAGCATGGTCACAGGTGACGCCTTGGGGTGAGAATGCATTGTTATAGTATACAAAATTGTTATCCACTCACAGCAGTGGGCGTTTACTTCCAAGTCTTCAGTGCGAGACGCCCATAAAAACCTAGCGTTTTTCAGCTAGGCTCAAAACTAGGGTAGAAAATATCCTATTACTTATTCATTTTGATGTTTTTGAATTTTGTTGTTTCATTTGGTTCATTTGCTGCTATAGGAGAGGAAGAATTTTGCAAACTCGTTAATTCATCTAAATCAACAACTTATATGTTAGACCCTATAACGACTAAACTACTGAAAGAGATGCTTCCAGAGGTCATGGATCCTCTTCTTAACATCATTAATTCATCTTTGCCGCAAGGATACGTACTAAAAACCTTTAAGCTAGCTATGATAAAACCGCTTGTTAAAAAACACAACTTGATCCTAGAGAATTAGTTAATTACAGGCCAATCTCGAATCTGCCTTTTCTGTCAAAGATACTGGAAAAAGCAGTATCCTCACAACTGTGTTCCTTTCTTGAAAGAAATGATATCTGCGAGGATTTTCAGTCAGGATTTAGACCACATCATAGTACCGAGACAGCTCTCATTAGAGTCACAAATGATCTGCTCTTATCATCCGATCATGGTTTTATCTCCCTATCTGACCGTTATCAGTTTGGAGCAGTAAATGAAGAGATGTCTTATCGATCACAAGTTCAGTATGGCGTACCACAAGGCTCAGTAGGAGGACCGCTGCTATTCACTCTGCACATGCTACCATTAGGAGATATCATTAGGAAACATGGAATTAGCTTTCACTGTTATGCTGATGATACCCAGCTGTATATTTCTTCAAAACCTATCGAAACTTACCAACTCACAAAATTAACAGAATGCACATAGCTGATATAAAAAATTGGATGACTAGTAATTTCCTACTAAATTCTGAAAAAACAGAGATTCTAATTATTGGGCAAAAAACTTCCACATGTAACAGTCTAGAATATTCTCTAACATTTTGAAAGTCATGTGCCTAGTAGATTTGAAATTTGAAAGTTTTGAAAGATTTCCAGATTAAAGTGGTTCGTGGTTCGACTTGTCGTGACTGTTTTCCCAAGATGGCTCCTGTCTGTACACACAAAGTGCACTGTCTTTATAAAGTATCTTCTTATTAAACTGTCTGTACACTTACAAAGTTCTCAATGCTTCGTTTTGCTTCGTTTTCCCTCATTATGTTACTGTGTTAGTGTGGGGCTATTTTGAGCCTTGTTAGTGGTATAAACTAGGGATTTCTTTTTACTTAGTAAATACCCCCATTACTAGTGTTATACACTAAACAGTTTTTAGAGAGTTGCAGTAAAGTAAAATATTTTAATAAGTTGAAGAAACAATTTATGATTTGTGCCACGTCACGCACATACACACGAACAGACACACAAACCAACGTGAACAGACTCACACTCTCTCTCTCTCTCTCTCTCTCTCTCACACACACACACACACACACACACACACACACACACACACTGTCTCTCTCTGTCTCCAAATATAGGCTGTCCCATTATTATAATATAATAATTCTATTATAATTATAATAATTCTATATAAACCACTATATATTAATGCATAATTTAATACCCTTTTCACGTGAGAAAAAGAATGAATAGGCTATGTGTACAGTATGAATGGGATATATTTGGGTCTTTTTCCAAACTTTCCCCTAATGGGATTCTTTGGGGCTTTACTTACTTAGGACATATTGATGATACAAAATCAGTTGAGTTTGCTTCTGTTGCAATTTGTTCAACCTTTTTTCATAAAATGACTATACTAATACCCTCTCACACACACACACACACACACAGAACCCAGCCACCAAATAAACCGAACGCAGCCACCTGTAAAAACAATTGCAAAGAAGCTTTTCAACGTGTTTGCATCAGTAATTTCCAAAAATTAAATTCAGACAACATTAAGTCTTTACCTTTTTATTGTATGTGGATGTGGGAGGGGGAAAATGTCGAGACTAAAGAAATGTAGCCTACTTAACAGTTATGCTTGATTTTCTTTAACAAAATTAGATTTTCACAAAAGTCAAACCAAGATCAGATAGTGTAGAATTTGTTCAGATAAAAATATGTTGTACCTTTATTATGTTCGTCTTTTGAGAATTTCTGAACCTGCTTTACATTTTTTGACATTTTGAGCCATAGACAAAATGCATGAAAATGATTCCTTTGCATGCACATTCATGACATAACTTGTGAATATATTCATGATTTTGTTGTCATGATGAATGTAATAAGTGATTCAGCTACACTGCTGTAATTTTGCTTCTATTTTTTCCTCTCAATCACACCATTGTGCTGTTAAGCCAGCCAATGTATTAGTGTTATTGAATTCAGTTGCAACAGTATCTTAGAGCTGATGCAAAGCACACACACTTTCATTTTTTCATTAGCTAAAGTGTTTCCGAGGTTGTGAGTGCCATGAAAAATAATCTGACATCAAGTTTTATGCAAGTCATTTTATAGCTGGAATTGGATCATGAAAAATGTCATGATAATAAATAGTATTAATGGCATTGTGGAGCACTACATTCATCCTTTTTTTTAAGTTTAGCATTCGTTTCTTACTAAAGTATAAGGAACTCAGTAATGGCTCTTATAGTAAATGATAGTTTTATTTTGATGTATTTACCGATAATGAACAGCAGATGGCGATGTTAAACAATTTTTTCACAACATTAACGGGCATCATTTATGTTCATTTTATGAATTTTAATCAACTTAGAAGTTTATCTCACATTGTTGGAACAGAGCTTATGTTTACATAAACTTGGTAAACCTCAGTTTGATAGTCTAGGTTTTGCATTAGAGAAAGTTAAGTAAAATTAATTGCATTAGATATTTGGCATGTGTCCCAAATACTAATAGAAACGTCTCACTTTTGTTCTAAGATATGCACACATTATAATTGATTGATTCTGTAAAGTGTGTGATTTCAATCCTGTCATTAAGAAATTTCTCTGAGCACAGTTCACTGTGTCAAACATATTAACCATCATTCTAGCCTAATCAGTCAGTTCAAGACCTTATTCTTGCATTAACTTGAATGGATTGTAACCGTAAATGATTATCAATTTTGCTCAACATTTCGAGGGCATAAAGCAACACATGATTCTTGCAGTCATCATTGCAGAGTTATTGGGGTCAAAAGATAATAGGATATTTCATCATAATCAGAGAGCAGTGGGGTCATGGGAGAAATTACCTGCTGTTCAGTGCTATCTGGACTTACTCAGACATCAAATGTATGACAGTCAAACATTGTTAATCTCTCTCTCTCTCTCTCTCTCTCTCTCTCTCTCTCTCTGTCTCTCTCTCTCTCTCTCTCTCTCTTACAGCCATGATTCAGAGGATGCTGCAAAGGCTTTGGTTTCATTACCACAAAATTGTTTAAACCTCAAAAGTGTGGTAATGACTAATGTAGGCCTACTTTTCTGAAATTATATGGAATTCAATTGTAAGTCTGTTTATCGGTTCATATAATTACAAATCTTGGATAATTGCAGGGCGAATGGCAATTATATGTTCTGCAGTCAGAAGGGTGCATTTACAGAAGACTAACACTCGATATTTATCAGCACCATTGAAGTCTGTCTAGATGCTGGTGTAATGCAACCGATTGACTTTTATTCTGTATGATGAATACACTTTGGCTGCATTTTACATTAATGATAAAACAGTTGCATCTAATTCACTGCCTGAAGTGCACATTTTTAAAATCTGGGATTTTAGTATATTCAGTGACCTCTTATGTCATTGCCTTGTTAATAATAGGCTAGATGTAGCATATGTGTGTGTAAAATACGTTTAACAAAGGCAGCTACATATCATACAAATAAACATTTTCAACAAACTTGAAGTGTTTGACCAATTTCCAACAACAGTCTTCCGCTACTCTTGTCCACAAACACATAGCCTAAATAGTAGTGTAGAAATGTATGCGCGCATATGTTTTGAAGAACATCTTGTGAGTGAGATCATGCTATAATTATGCTATACTTTATCGTTTGCGTTTCAAAGCTAAAACCATCTTCGACCTTTGATTAGCTCTTTCTACTTATTCTACACTTTCAGCTCTCGAAGTCGGAGCATTCGTGTTAATTATAAACTGTTATAGCGTTCAATTAGTTGCAAATGAAGTTGAAAGTGTGGTATTTGAAGAGAAGCGCGCGCAGGAAGCTGCTCAGCTGTATTTCAGTTGGCTGAGTGCAGACCCTGCCCTGATTGCCTTATATCCATGTCTATTGACGTGTAGAGAGCAGATGGAGGCATAGGGACTGATCTGATCTCTAGTCCTCAGAGGTCATTCTCGCTACAGTTACAGCCACTTGTTGCCAAATCGCTGAGACCGCGAGCGCGTCGCGAAACCGCTTTCATAGAGAGCCATTTCTTTGCTTTCACGACACGGATCTAGATGTTGAGACGGGAATACAACCACTTCTGACTTTGTTTGGGGGGAAAAGGTCACTTTTGAGCAAATTCGTCGCATTTGACGGGAGAAGCATGGTTGACAACACAAGCATAGCAACTAAATCGGCACTGGTAAGCACGCGCTTTTGCTCATCGGGTAGAATGTAGAGTTGTTTACTCGGTACATTAATTTAAATATTGTATTTCGATCTTTAGTGCCCTTATAAACTGTTTATAGATTACAGCATGTTCTGTTACATTACACAGACCTTCGACCTAAGTTAACGTTACTGTACCGTCAATAGCAATAGGCTATACATTGTCATATTTCTGTCATTGAATAGGTCGAGGTTGTTTTTTTGCACATCGCATCAGAAATGTGACATTGATTCATTAATGCTGGCCGTCTAGTTTTATAGTTGATCTTGTTAGTGGAATATTTCCGTTGGAAACCACGTTTCTTCCCTAACCCAGTACGCAAAATTATTTTATACTGATCTGTTGCACTGATTTGATCGATAATGTCATCTGAACAAAAAAAATAAATAAATAAAAATCCCACGAAATTGAAAAGTTGAATTGCTGCATTAAATTAAGTTAAAGCGGTGCCTAACTGTGAGCATTCAGTTTTTCAACTAGCCTACTTTAATTGCTAATGAAGAAAAACTAGTAAAAAAAAGAATATGGGGACAAGTTAAATGGATGGAAACATGGGACATTGATGATAAGACTTTTACAATGTGTATATATATTTTTTTACATAAAAAATAGACCTACAGCGTTTTGCCTTTTTAGGCTATAGCAGGCTAGTAGGCTACAGCTGTTTAGTAAATAACTATTTCAACCAGTATTATATGCAAATGACTTTCAACTAAAGTTTCCACATACTTTTAAATCAATTTTGACATATATTTTCTTTACATTGTAAAGAACGTCTGCTAAAACTATAACATGGAAATGTAATTTTCGTGATCATCTGCACATTGTAATTTGGCGCTTCAGGATCTCTAGCTAAACAATTTAAAATACTTTGAGTAAATAAAGTAAAAACAATTTTTTGTAGATTATAGTTTTTGTAACTTTAGTTCTTATATGAAAAACTACAAGAAAATTATACATAATGTTTTTCCATTTTATTTTACCACCTTAAACTGATTGACAGTGTGTGAACTAGCTTACTTAGTTGTTAGGCTATCTGGTCGTTAGGTCTTTTTTGATGATACACGTGAAAATACGTGCTCCAACAAACCTAAAATGTTACTTTTATACTTACTAAAAATGCCAACTAGCCTGCAATTGTATGAAAAATATGTAGCCAACTTAACTCCCCCTCCCCCACCCCCAACAAAATATTTTGGAATCTTTTTGCAGGGGGCTCAAGTCTTAATTAATGGGGGTCTGACTCCACTAAATCCCCACAATTCACGCCACACTTTCAGCTAAATTTTAACATTTGCATTGTATTGCCCACAGCAAGCCGCTTTCTCGTCGGCGAGCACTCTTCCTCTGCTGGTCAGCTCCTCCAGCGCTCACAGTCAGTCGAGTGGCGGCGGCGGCGGGATGAAGCTGGAGGCGGTCATGGAGAACCTGCAGCGACAGCAGGCGGCTCGACTTGCCCTGGAGGAGAAGATCCGCCAAGCCGAAAAAGAAAAAGACATCAGGTCTATGGTGGAGTCGCAGATTCATCAACAAGCTCTGGCTTTCCGCCACTATCAAGCAGCTGTCAGGGGAGCGTTCGCTGCGGGAGCTCCGAACTCGAGCTCTGGCCACCCAAATGAGCGCACAGCCAACTCCGACATCAATGATGATGATGATGAAGATGATGATGATGCTGACCTAGACTTGGACCGCGGCATGGATGACGAAGAGCGCGACTTGGATGAAGATGACAGTATGAACGAGGGTGGAGGGGATGAAGATTTGGAAGGACCCCTAGTTCACTACCCATCGCGCCATGCTGTTTATCCCGGTGCGGGGCAGTCTCCAAAAAGTACTCCGATACATCTATCCAGAATCCAGCCTCCCTATCCAGGTCCAGGACAGGCTGAATCACCGAGTGGTTTGGCACCACAATCACAGCAGCACGAATGGACTTACGAGGAGCAGTTCAAACAGGTATGTCCATTAGTGAGATTCTAGATGCACTTTAATAACCATTGAATGTGCACTCCGGTGAACCGAATGGGGATTACTAACGTGCAAAGTTTAAAAGCATGAAGTGAAATTGGGATTAGTCCTGTGTGAAACCACTTGCTGAAGTCCCAGCATATTTCATAACAGCTAGTCTGCATGCATGTACACACACACACACAAAAAAAAAGATTTTTCCAGAGGAAACGACATGGCAGTTCTTGAACTTTAATGCTTGATCTTGATGCAAACTATACGGCCCAGACTCTTGATCCATGCATTGACATTGACGTGCATTTTGCTTTAGCATAATTACCAGAGACAAAGAGCCTGCACTCTACATTTTTCCCACTTATGAAGATTAATCAACTTACTGCGGTAATAGGTTTAGTACATTATACTTTTTGGACTACTTTGGATTTGGAAAGATGAATTGCCTAAATACTTGCTTGAAATATTTAAATAATTACCATTTCATAATTTAGGTCTTAATGTGTTTTTGCAGAGTACATAAAAGAACAAATGTGTTATTGTTGTTGTTGTTAGAGTCTTTGCTCTTGATGTGTATGAGTACAAAATACTAGTGTGGCTTCAATTAGTTTTGATTGTTTTAAAACAGATTTTTGAATTGCAGCTGGATGTTTTAGTTATTCAAAGTCAGCTAGAACCACTGTAAATTCAGGATTGTGTGAGAATGTTTGAGTTATGCTGCAGCAGTTTAGTTCCACTGTATTCTCAGGGGATAATTTAGAGTGATACACTGAGAGTGAGGCTCTTAAGCAAACACAGATCTATACGGAACGAGCCTGGATGGACTTGTCATTCCTTATTTATGATAGATCATTCAGAGACCTGGCCAAATGAGACATGCACATTAGCGGCTGCATTAGTGTAAGCACTGGTTTAACGTAGGGGATAGAATGCAGTTTGGATAAAGACATCTGCTTTGATTGACATTGATGAAATTGAGGAAAATTGTCCATCAAAAGTATCTTACACAAATTCAACAGAGGAAATTTAAACTGCAGTTGTCATTATACTGTAAATAGATAGTTTGGTTTTAATTCATATTAATTTATATTATAGTAATTAATTTATCATGTAAGATTAGTACCAACCAACCATAATCTTTTCTTTAAGAAAAGAATCTACTGAGGACAGTGTTACATAACAATTAATGTTGTTTTGCAGAAGTCGCAGAACATGCATTTTGTAATCGCTATTTGGACAAATCAAGTGAAATGCAGAAACAATGAAAGGATGCCGATGGCATTTGGCAGACTGACTGGAGCCAGTGTACTGCCTGTTTTCAACACTTAAAAAAATGTCGAAATGCTATAAATGCCTTCTTGAAATAAGAATGGCTGTTTTGAGGAATGTAAAAATAGACTGAGACATTAAACATGTGTGACCAAATTCCTGGTGTCTGTATTTACGAAAGTAATGCAAACGATAAATATAGACCATGCTTATAGCTCTGAAAGAACTTTCAAAGTCAGCTCAAATTGTTCTGTACAATATTTCTTTGTTAAAACTAAACCCAAAGATCTAAAAAAAACTCAATTATGAAAAAAAAAAGCTATATGCGTAACATTGTTTGCACTTTGTCATTAATTAATTTCTCTTTCAGTTAACTATAAGATGGATGTGTGTTGCAGTTCTATTTTCACTGATATTAAAAATGAGTCATTCAACAAAGGAACACAGAATAGATGGACCAGACAGGGAAGGATCGGAAGAGACCAAGTTAGACCGGTTGCTATTTTATTGGCCGTTTATTGTCAAAAAACAGTGGGGGAGTGGGGTGGATGGCAAGTAGTTGCATAGAGTTTTGGCAGGAATGCAGGAAACTAGACCTGATGGCATTCCAACCTGGCTCCCTCCCAATAACGCTGGGATATCCCTCTCAGGCTGCGTATGGGTCGGCTTGAAGCCAAGCCATTACGAAATAGGAACAAACTGCATACATCATCACAGTCTAGCCAGACAAACATTTGTGTGTGTGTGTCCACAAAGTGAATCACATTCTGTTGTACACGTAAATATTTATTGCATTTAATTTGATTGATTTAGTGTTTGTTAGATGCATGCACATGCATTTTCTTTGCTTTGCACAAATGGTATTACTTTCTGTAGCACTGTGTTTTCTGAAACGGATTTTTTTTAACCTAAAATCTTTAATAATATTCCAAAAATCTTAACTGTCACTTCCTCGCTGCATAAAAGTATTAATTTCTTTGAAAAAACCACACAGACATCAGACTTCCAAACGATAGTATATGTCTTATCAGACTGGCTCCACTTCAGAGTAAATATGCTTTATCAGCAGGTTCTATATCTCAACCTATTTGAAGCACATATCAAATGCTCACTAAAGGTACAGAGTGTACTTTTTCCCCTCTGCAAATATCACTCTTTTGATTACTCAGTCCGACCTCCACTTTGGTTTCGGGGCGTATGTTTGATCCCCTCTCACCCTACCCCCTGTCTCTCTGCCATGTTTTGCAAACATGAGAAAAACTCACATAATGGCTTTTTCCCATAACAAGGATTTTACAGGACCATAGAGGGGGCTGGGCAGGGCTGAACGGGGTGGAGGAAACCCAGCAGTGGTGTTTGATTTCACTATCTGCTAGTGGAAAAGGAGCTTTCTCTTTCCTTCTTCAGTCTGCTTGAGTTAAATTAGTCTAATGGATTTTTTGTGTTATATATATATATATATATATATATATATATATGTTTGACTCAGAGGATATTTGCACTCTCTAGTCTAAACTCTGAAATCTGTTTGTTCTAAGGCTCAGAAGAGACACATCAACTGTAATGGTTTGAAACCTGTGTAAATTCAAAATAATCTGTTAGCATTTTATAATTGCAGTTCCAAGCAGATTATCGAGTATCGCGGCAGCCAGCTGTGACCTAATTTACTCAAACACTCACAATTAAGCAAAACATCTCTTGGAGAAAATAGGAAATGAGGCAATTGTGAAATCATTGAAAGGAAGACAACGTTCCCCCCTAGCCAGGAAGCCGAAATAGTCTTTGTGGTTAAACAAACTTTGTCGGTGGGCAGGGGTTTAAAGATATGCACCTCTTTGTTTGGCTGGATACTTTTGGGAAGAGGAAAAAAATACTTGCTTGTGGAAGTGAGAGACAGAGGCTATACAGTATGTGCCCAAAACAGCCTTAACCCATGAGCCTCGGCGGATAGTCTGCTGATATATTTAAATGGCCAGTCCTAAAGTCTTCTCAAGTTACACACTTCAATTCAAGCCCATTAATACCATCATAAAAATGTTTGGAGCCCTTCTTTGAAATCGACACATGCACACACACGCACACACATTAACTCCGGTGTCAACACACACAGTAACTACGGTGTCAACACACGACATTCCTTGACTTTACAGGTCTGCTCCACCCCTACGGTATCCCCTTCTGTTTGATTGCTCTGCTTTGCTCATATGTTTTGGGGTCCTGAGAGCCATTAAGTGCCCCAGCATGAAGTCTCAAGCTAAAACACATGCATGGAGCTAATTCTCCATATGGCACAGAGGTTGGGATTTTTACCTAGCAGCACTATCGTTAGCCTTCTGTGGTATGAGCTAACCCAGGCCAATTCCGACAGCTGTGGCAGGTTCGTTTTGGACGTGTGCTGTCAGTGGAAATATTGAATACAATTCCAGTTGTTTCAGTTTTAGATCGCCTTATAAATAAGAGCTTCCTTCAGCTGTGTCCAATTGCTGGGTTATTATAAAATCCCTGTTGACATGTCATCAGCTGCCAGAATTGGCGGGAGCTGATAAGCCTGCTCTGAACATGACCCATTCTGAACATTCAGAACTGGACACAGGCCCGCAGCTAGAGCTATATCATCTTGCTCCAAGTGAGAGCGCTCCACTTTAATGCTGTGTTTGTCACTGTCTCAAGAGGCTGATAAATATGCAAATTGTCTTTTTTTAATTTAAAAAAAGTGTAAGATATTGTATTTAGTAGAAATGCACAATATATTAGTATCATACCAGTTATAATATCGAATTTTTAGCTCTGATATAGATGAATTTACTTAACCCAAGCCATTGTAGACCACATGGTTTCATTTAGACATGAATTGTGTATATTTTCTTTTTTTTTTTTTTTTTTTTTTTACATTTAGATTACCCTATGTAATCTTTACTGTATGTAAATGTAATCTTCAGCAAATCTCAAAATAAATACTGTATAATTAACTTATGGCCTAATGTTTTTATGGCTAAATTCACTTTTAAAACTATTAATTTACTACTAGTATGTTTTAATGTTATTTTAATATAATATATTATATAATTTTGTATTGAATAGAAATCATATCAATGTGAAAATAAAGCGTAACTGGTGCCTGTTGCATTCCCAATTGCACACTAAACTCACAGCACATACAGAGATGGAGTTTACTGCATTCATTCACTGTAAACTGAGCCGTTCGGTGAGTGGTGGTCAAATGATAAGGGTTTTTTGATGGCCGATATATATACATACATATATATATATATATGTGTATGTATCGTTTACATGGATATATCGTTTACATATATATATATACATATATATATATATATTGATTTATATATTTTTTATTTGATTTAGGGTTGCACGATTAATCGCAATTTCCATGTAAACGCATTTAAATCGAGATGGCTTATTGTGATTTTGAAATCACAAAAGCTGCGATTTTTTTGTGCAGCTCGTCATTGATATACGGCTCTGTAAATGCTGCTCCATCTTAAAGTTCTGTGAGTTTGAATCACTTATAAAGTGCATTTGAAAAAGTAATGTGCGTCAAACAACTTTCCAAACATGAGAAGCATTCAATATCCTCTTGTCCACCAAAAGACAGCATTTAATAACATACTCCAAACTCACTTCATAACGACCATTAAGCATCCTTCTGTAAGATGATGTGGCTTCGTACACAGAATAAGGCAGTTGTGTGTTTATTGGTCATG